ACGTTGTTGCTTTGGCCTTGCTTTCAACTCAAAACCCAGGCGAAAAACGCAGTTCGGCCCCGAGTGTACTTAGCCTCTAGACTGTTTCGCGCACCTGCGTTGCCTGCCTTTTTTCCCCGATGCGCGCTCGGAACCCAAGCGCGCATATCTCTACAAATCCCTGTTGGGATGTTCGCCCTTACACTCACCGTCCTTAATCAATAGATTACAGTACCTCCTGTTACAATCCCGATCAAGGACTGTTAGTTTTAGGGGGAACATCCCCAAGATCCGATAGGCGCGTGCGGGCGCCGTTGCCTACTTCGGTTTTAGGGTTTTAGGCTATAGTGTTCAGGCATGCAACCACCTTCGCCCTAAATGCAGGCCACAGGGGGGTGGGGGGGACCCTAAACCCTAAACCCTAGACCCTCGACCCTAGACCCTAGACCCCTAAACCCTAAACCGCTGCAAGGCCGAGCGCCTACAGCTGGTGGCCGCCCACCATGCAGATCAGGGCAGGCAGCTGCTGAGTCAGGACCGTCCGTTTGACGTAAGCAAATGCGTATATTGTCCTTTTTGTCATGTCATGTGTAGTGTTGGGTGTCGCGCAAGTGCCATGCTTTGGTATTGTATTGTGTACTTGTTGCATTGCAACGCGGTGTGCGTCAGTGGGCGGGGGGGGGGGGGGGAATTTGAGTCAGCGTGCACATAATCTGGGCTTCATGGCGCAAACTAAGGCAAAGAATAGATTGGCATGCAGGGTGCTGCTGCCTGTTGGCCTTCGCTTCAGGGCCCCACTAACGTCATTAGCAGATATATGGAAAAAGTTCAAGGCCCCTCACTGACCACCCCTGCATCTGATTTCACCAGTGCCTGCACAGACGCAGAAGCGCACGCAGAAGCGGACGCAGAAGGGCCAGCTGCGTGTCGTCACATGCTATTTTCACCTTGCACTCCTAAGGCTTACGCCCAGAGAGAGCGGAGTACCTCGGGCTACAAAACGACAAATCTGTGAGTGCACCAGCAGGCTGTGGAAGCAGCCCGTGTGGGAGAAGGCAAAGTAGCAAAGCAATGCAATACAACGCAATGCTGTTCAACGCTAAGCAAGAATCTTTGCCTGCCCGTGTGCCCCGGCGTTCCTTGTCATGTGCTGATCCTTTGGCGATCGCGTTTCCTGAGAGGTAGGACTGGAGGATGCCATGGAAAGAAGCCTCTTGGAGGCTCGTGAGACTCGTGAGGGACTGGGTTTAGGGTTTAGGGTTCAGGGTTTAGGGTTTAGGGTTTTTGGTTTAGGGTTTAGGGTTTACGGTGTGTGATTGCGCTTCTTCCATCCTCAGCAATTAGCACGCCATTTTGTCTGCTTCTGCTGCGAAGCCGTCGAAAGCCCTACACGCCACGCCCCAAACCCCAAACCCCACGAAACCCGAAACCCTAAACCCTAAACCCTACACCCTAACCCCTAAACCCTAACCCCTAAACCCTAAACCCTACACCCTAAACCCTAAACCCTAAACCCTACACCCTAAACCCTAAACCCTAAAATCCCTAAACCCGAAACCCGAGCCAACTGAAGCCTCCCTACAACGACCCAAGCTGCAACAGCTCCCAGCAGAAGGTCAAGAAACGCCTTGGAAAGTTGTCGCACCGTGGCCTTCTTTTTTGTGTTTAGGTGTCAGGGTTTAGGGTTTAGGGTTTAAGGGTTTAGGGTTTAGGGTTTAGGGTTTAGGGTTCAGGGTTTAGGGTTTTGTGTGTGTGTTTTTTGGGTTGGGCTGAGCCATGTCGGAGATTCTGTTTCGGCCCATTGCCCAGGCAGGACATTGACGAGCTTGTGAGTGAGCTTCGGTACACGGCTGCTGATATGAGGCCGTAGGGTTTAGGGTTTAGGGTTTAGGGTTTAGGGTTTAGGGTTTAGGGTTTAGGGTTTAGGGTTTAGGGTAGGTTCAAAGACTCCTGGCACCTCGAGCCTTTCGTCGAGCAACTTGACCTTATCATTGTACATAGCAAAAGGGGCGGGGATCTGCCCCTTTCCGCATTGCAGGCGCACTTTGAACAAAAGGGGATCTGCCGCGACTCCTGGGCTGATCTTTGACATGTCTGACCCCCTTTTTCGCCGTCAAGAATCAGCACCCCTGCCCCGCAGACTCGTGCAACTGCCAGACGAAGACTCCGAGAACGAGCTGCAAGGTATCCGAAATCGTAAACCCTAAACCCTAAACCCTAAACCCACTCAACCTAAACCCTCAGCCCCTAACTCCAGCTCTGGCCCTCAACCCTAAGCCCAAATCCCTACGCCTGCTTGCCAAGGCTCATCCTAGCCATCCTTTCCACGCGCGTCAACGCCGCAAAAAGGCCGTGGCCGTGTGAAACCCAGGTCGCTGACTTTCCCGTATATTTCATAAAGTAGTGCATTGTAGTATGTATGGTTAGTCTTTTGTTGTATATGATATACCTATTGCTGGTCTACAGCATATTTTGTTACAAATTATAGGCGAATAGTGTATATCTTGGTCTAGTATATTTGAGTACATTAGTATGTGTGTCTGGATGTTGTTGTATGTGGCAGTTACTATCATAGACGGTATATGATTGATAGCATACTATGGTACACCTTGCTATATGTTGCTATAGATTGTGGCATTGACAGTATATGATACGTTTTCCCCCGAAACCCTAAACCCTCAACCCTCAACCCTAAACCCTAAACCCTAAAAACGCTGCCTGGGCTGGAGTGAGGTTTCTTTATGAGCCGGTGCCGGAAGATGACACCTTCAAGGGAAGTGCACAGCTCAGCTTGAGGTTGAGGGGTCAGGGTTCAGGGTTCAGGGTTCAGGGTTCAGGGTTTAGGGTTTAGGGTTTAGGGTTTAGGGTTTAGGGTTGAGGGTTTAGGGTTTAGGGTTTAGGGGAGTTTTGAGGCTTGACGGCGAGAAGACCTGACACTGGATCATGGCAAAAGTGTAGCAGGGGTTTAAGTTGTTCCATTCAGGCAGGCGCTGAACCAATCCTTCAAGAGCTCCACGCTGCCTGGCCTAGGGGGCATCTTCGCATTCTGCGCTCCTTGCGACATGCTGTCCAGGCATCCGTGTCCGGCGGGCTTGCAAGCATGTGTGGGTGTAGGTGCGAGGTTTGTATAGAGTTTCGACAGAAGTGAACTGGCCTCTTAGAAGGCCCATTGAACATGAACTCCCTGCAGACGAGGATGGTTCGTTCATTCCTCGAGGATCGTTCATTCCCTCATCTCATCTCATCTCCAATGCGCCATCTTTGACTCTCGGGCTGGTTAGACCCAGCCTAAACCCCAAACCCCAAACCCTAAACCCTAAACCCTAACCCTAAACCCTCAACCCTAAAACCCTAAACCCTAGACCCTAGACCCAAGACCCTAGACCCTAGACCCTAGCCCCCCCTCACTCCCCATCGAAACTGTAAAGACTCGAGCTTAGAGTCAGCCTGGCAGGCTGCTCCATCCATGAGTCGATGGCAAGTCCACTTGCTGCCGCTTCTTCAACAACCGTAATCTTGCAGTATGACGTGGCATAGATGGTTCCGATTAGGAGGCCCTAAACCCTAAACCCTAAACCCTAAACCCTAAGCCCTAAATCCTAAACCCCAAACCCTAAACCCTAAACCCTAGTGGGAAATTCCTGAAGTCGGCTCAGTCGGTCCACTCCCTTGGAGCTTCGAGACGCCACATCATCTCCCAAGGAGGTGCGTCTCCCCCAGAACGAGGGACCTTGCGTAAGATAGCCCTAAACCCTAAACCCTAAACCCTAAATCCTAAACCCTAAACCCTAAACCCTAAACCCTAAACCCTAAACCCTAAACCCCAAACCCTAAACCCTAAACCCTGAATTGCTGGGCATTCAGGTTCCGAGGTCTGGGGAAGGCTCAGATGTGGTACAGCCATTGGTTTAGGGTTTGGGGTTTAGGGTTTAGGGTTTAGGATTTAGGGTTTAGGGTTTAGGGTTTAGGGTTTAGGATTTAGGGTTTAGGGTTTAGGGTTTTTTGCTCCATGGCCCAAGTCCCTCGGCAGGCAAAAAGGGATTTTTGATTCAGGGCATAGGGTAAGGGTTTCTGATTAGGGTTTAGGGTTTAGGGTTTAGGGTTTAGGGTTTAGGGTTTAGGGTTTAGGGTTTAGGGTTTAGGGTTTAGGGTTTAGGGTTTAGGGTTTAGGGTTTAGGGTTTAGGGTTTAGGGTTTAGGGTTTAGGCGTTAGGGTTTAGGGTTTAGGGTTTAGGGTTTAGGGTTTAGGGTTTAGGGTTTAGGGTTTAGGGTTTAGGGTTTAGGGTTTAGGGTTTAGGGTTTAGGGTTTAGGGTTTAGGGTTTAGGGTTTAGGGTGCACTGATGACTTGGAACCTGGAGCATGGATGTGCTTCCTCTGTATATAGAGAACGGAAATTTGCGATTCTAGGGATCGCAGGAAGACTTTAGGACACTGCCACGCGCGGATGTGCTGAGCTCCCTCAGCGCTTCGAAAAGATATCAACACGGACAAATCATCTGCTCTATATAGCTATTTCTCAAAACAGAGGTCCAAAAACAATGAGACACAAATTTTGGGAAACCCTCATATCTCTTCAGCCTCGCATTGTCTATCTGTCTGTAACGCGGGGGTCCGATTTTAGGTACTGGGTACCCTGTTGTATATGGAGGTGTCCAAGGATGGGGATTACAGCATATTTTGGGGCGGGAAATTAGAAGACTCATTCTTGGGACATGCCTGTATAACCTTTGCTAAGAGTGTTTGCTGTGTGTTGCAATCCTTGCACTGGTGCCGGCCTTTGGCATGTTTCAGCCGCAGGCGCTCGCCTCACTTGCATCATGCACAGGCATCGCATCACACACTAGTTTAGGGTTTACGGCTTAGGGTTTAAGGTTTAGGGTGCTGACCTTGCTTGGTATCTGCTGACTTACTGAGATCACAGACTCCTGTCGCCTCGTGTGCTCAGCCGCTCCGAATCACCTGGATTGCTCTTAGCTTACGCGTGCTGGAGGCCCCCCCCCAGCCTTC